CTGGCCCGAATCTGCGGGTGTTCTAGATAAGAAGACTTGTATTTAACTTGATACGATTACGAGGAAGATAGAAATTGGACACACTTCAAAAGGATTACAAGATTGTCTATTTATAGAAGGAAATAGTGCTAGTCTATAATCAAGATAATGCAAAAGTAATCCTGATTTAGACGGCCATGCTTCCAATGCTTGGGACTGGCAAAACCAACCTAACACACAATGTCGAAAAAGGTGATCATTACATTTCTGACAATGTGGTATAACAAAAGACGAAATCCTTCAACTCTTTGCACATGCTTAGTCTTAGTAGTCGATCATGCGTAATAACCCAATCCTAACTTTTCTATCAACACATTACATGCCATTATCACATGTCGAAAATTGTGATTCTTACAAACGTATCAAAAAGACGAAATCCTTCAACTCTTTGCACATGCTTATCTCCGGTCTTGAAGTTTTCAGTCAGGACGATACAACTCTTTGCTATCACTTTTCTTCCAGACTCTTCGCTACTCATTTCAATTAAGTATTCGCTTCATATATACACCACATAGCTGGCGAGAGTAACTTTTGTATACAACAATGTCCCCTAAGTGACCTTGCAACTATCCTCTTCATCGATTTTGTTTGAGAAACTTAATGATAAGCCACCAAAACTTCATGACTTCAAAATTCCATTTGATTCTTCTAGTTAACTCATAATTCACTTCATTAGTGGTGAAGTTGGACTTTTCAACATACGAGATAGTGTCTTCAAGTTGTTTCTTTGAGCATCGATGAAACACAGTGGCTGGAATGAAGAAATTTTCACTATATCATGAGATTTTGAACACAATGCCAAGTTCAGGAAAGTTTGTGGCTCCGAGGCTTAGATCTTGAATTCATTAGGTAATTGTTAGAGCATGTTCGAACAGACGAAAATTCATTTTTTTAGCAAGGACAGAGTATATCTCGGCATCAATCCTTGCAAAGACACATACTAGAGCCTTAAGAAAGTCACAGGCTCTGGCATATGTGGGTTTCATTTTGTGGTATTTTTCTATCAGTTTTTGGAAAACCCTTGCAATTAGAAAGATCTATTCAATATTCATGACGGCAAAGTCTACTTGAATGAAATGGTATTATTTGTTGAAGCGAGATAGAATGTATTAAAAGTAGGTTGCGCCTTTGAATGAGCGATGTTTGTATGTCTTAACTGCTTCAGGAACATCATTGGACCAGATTTCATCAACTTTCTTCCCATACTTGTTGTGAAACAAATTCAACCTTTCAAAATCCAACGGAAGCCCGCAATCATCTGGATGCGAAGATCAAATGGTTCGAATATTGGGAAGTATTTTGCGTTAGGAGACAAAGGAATATCCCAGTATCCATTGGTGGGCGGCTCATCATACGTTATATGAGAGACGTAGTCTGTATCTAAAATTCTTCGCATTGGGTTCACCTACGATTGGATTAGTGACTCATCCATCATCACATCAAATCCTTGTTCCTTCTAGATGTATTCTGTTAGTGGTAGGGTAGTCATTCGACTTATGCGAATACATAGAGGGCTCTAGACTTGCTTCCTTGATGGATGAAGTCTTCTTTGGATATTACGATGGAGTTGGTTTCCTCGTAGATTGAGGAGGAGTTGGAGTTTTTTGATTTTGAGGAAAGGGAGAAGGTGTTGAAGTTTTTTTCTTTTTGAGGAGATTTTGGTGGAGACTAAGGTGGAGTTTGATTTTTCTTAGGCGAGGTAGATTTATAGCTTTTAGAGGAAGAGATGAGTTCAACTATTGGTCCCTTTACCCCTTTTTCATGAAGAAGGGTTTACCTTCAACTCAAACAATGCTTTTAAATCTTCAAGCAGTTTGTAGGTTTGGTAGAACCTAGTAAGCATCTGGGTGCTTAAGTCATTTGTTGTCATGACGCTTGGGTTTTTGATGTAATCGAGGATATCCTTAGTAACAACTTGGATGTCATCGATTGTTTCCCTTGGCTGGACTATTCTTCTTAAGCCTCTGATTGTTGATTGGAGTTCGGAATACCCAACTTCATAACCGTTGTGGGTTTCATTAATCAGATACTTTGTCTTCTCTTCCTGCTCTGCGGTCACCATGACTAGTTGATTTTGAAGTGTGTTTAATCAATCATAAATGGAAATCATAGTACTATTTAAACACAAGATGTAAATAAGATATTTGATTCAGCACAATATCTGGAATGGTACAAGTTGGAAGTAGAGAGAGAAATTACAAGCTCACAAAGTTTTTTGCTCAGTTCAAGGACCACACACCTTCTTCTTTCTTCCTAAGCACTGCATGGAAATGAATCTTCAACTTCTTATACTCAACAATATCTTTATAATTCTTAGCAACCTTGAACTGAGCAAAAAAGTAAACCTGGCATGACTGATCGGAAAATATAGTTGATTGAGATCGGAGTCTTCAATGGAAAAAATTTTCTTTGGGATTTTATCAAACACATCCACATCACCGTATGTCATATTTTCAATTGTTTTGTAACACTGGGCCTTGTTTGGATCTCCCTTATCAATACCAGGTAGGTCATTCGCTCTCATTCGCATGATGCATTTCAACGACTTCATTCTTTCAAACTCAAGTTCTTGAAGCCTTTATTCTCTTTAGGTGTAGGATCCACATGAACACTTTTTTCTTTATTTTTTTGGATCAAAAGTAGTAACAGGCTAGACTATTGAAGAACAACCTCCTTCATTAATGTTTAAACCTTTCTTTGATTGTAGATTAGACATATCTACTTCGACATTTGGTGTAGCAGTCGTTGTCGAAGTTTTCATGATGGTTTTCAGTGGTTATGAAGTTGAAATTTGAGTAGAAATCAACTTCCCAAATGTTTTTCCTTTATCTTCCCCACTATCGTTTGACTAACCAACCCCCTTTTCTCCCCCTTGCGACACATTCGTAGAAGGGCGTGAAGCGTTGGCGGGTAATTGAAGAACCAAAACTAATATCAGAGCAACTTGAGTCTTGAAACATGATTCCAATGAAGAGACCATATAAGTGATTTCCTCTTGAAATATCAAAGTTGTTGACGGAAAATTAAACTTCGACAATCTTTCATGAAAACCAATAAGCGAGTTCTCGATTGTAGAAATTTTTTTCCATCCGAATCCTTCTTAAGCTTCAACTCACCAACATATTCCTTATTGAAGGCACTAACATCCTTAATCAGGGTTCATGTTGCATTCAAAAGAGCATCAACTTTATCCTTAATGCTCACATAAAACTTATCCAACTTTGCCACTTCTTTGGAAAACAAATCAACAAATTCTTTGAGCTTCAATTAAGTGGACTCTTTCGAAGAGTTCACAAGCTTCCCAAAAATTTCATGTCGTTCACGAGCAACATTTTGTAATTCCATGACTTCATATTTGTAATGATTGGATTAAGCAACAAGACGTTCTTCAAAACTCATAACAACATTATTAAACAAAGTCCTTGTTCTTGACTCTTAGGACTTTGACAAAAACTTAACCTCTTCACCACTCACAGAGGACTTCCCAGCAGTATAATTCAAGAATTGAAGAATGGTGTTGAGTTTAGAGTTAAGGATTTTTAATTTCTTTCTTGACATAATGGCATTTCCATCAATATTATCCTTTTCATGATTAAACTCTAACTCATAAAATCCAACCATTCCATCTTCTTCTTAATCTTTGTTATTCGACGTCTCTTGATCTGTTGATTGAGAAGAGAATAATGAAGTGATAGGCTCATTGATCACACCTTGGAATGTAGGAGAAATAGCAGAAATTGTTGTTGGTATGATGGTTGAAGTTGGTGGTAGTTGTGGAACAGTTAAAGTGTCGATAGCGGATGTCGAATTTTCACAGTAGTATCAGTAGTCTTCTTTGAGTGATTGATAGATGAAGCAAACTCAACCCATAAGAACGAACCATAGTCAACCTTCATTCTATAATAAAGACGATCCATAGCGGAACATAATTGAATTTTTTCCTTGTTAAGAACAAAACTCCTTCAAGTTAAACAACGAAGGGTAATTCCAAATAAAATACTTCATATGCTTGGAAGATTTGACTTCTTAAAAGCACTAACAAGAGAAATCGGAGGTTAAGAACCCATATCATTAAACACCTGAAGTACATGTTCGTTCGTAGGAACTTCAAACGATCCTTTTGTTGGATTAGATGTCTAAGCCATTAACTAAATTATTTTATAAACTTAATTTATTAGCAAAGTCATTTTGGGTTGCCCTCAAACCTAGTAAGAGACTGGAATGCTATTTGGAGAGAGAGACTAATTTATTAACTTATTATATGATTAATAAATGAATTAGAAATAAAAAATAAATAATTTAATAATATTTTTTGAGAAAAATATATTAATTCGAAATTATATTGTTTAATTATAAATTAATCAGAAATTAATTTTGGGATTAATTAGAATAGTTAAAAGTGGAAGGACTAAAAGTGTCAATGCCCAAACGTTGAACATTGAATGATTCTGGAACCTCCCTGGGAGAGGGGATGGTTCTAGAGGGGATGTTGGAGTTTTTATAGGGCTTCTAGGAAGCTTAGGGTTGCTTGGGGGGAAAGAAAAGGGTTAGAGTTATCCATAAGAAAACCTGCCTTTTATGCACCTCCTTAAGCCCTATAAATATCCAAGGGCATAAGGGATTTCACATTCACTCTTCCAAGGAACCCTAGAGCCTAAAATTCCCTCCTCTCCCCTCTCTCTCTCTCTCTCTCTCTCTCTTCAATAGCCTCCAACTGCTAGGGTTTGGGCATGAGCCATCAGCGACACGAGATTTCTGGTGTTGGCTTTCTGAAATTCTACAAAGAAGGAATTCAAGTTTATTTACAATAATAAACGAAAATATCAATGTACTTTAGGGTTCTTAAATTCAAATTGTTCTTTGCATATCATAGTGAGTACATAAATCCTATAGGGTGTATGCGAACTTAGGGTTTTATGTTTTCCGCCAAAAAATATGATTTTTGTTATCTATAAAACCCATCACATTTTTGTTGGTAATTGAAGAATTTGGGCAAACTGCTTCTTGTTCAATCTCTTGTTTCTTTTCGATTCCATTTGGAATGTTATGATCTCCGTTGTCTTGTTGAACATGACCGTAGAACCAACGAGTGATAACCGCTTCATCAGTATGGCAAAAAAAGTCATCAAAGCATGTGTGAGAATAGAATTATTGATACAATGAACCACCATCTTCAACTCTTTTGGATAATCTTCAATCGATGGGTTAAACCAGACATTGTTGGATTGAATCTTTATATTAGGCAAAGAGACTCCGTGTTCAGTTGTGTTGAATTGATCGACCACAATATTGGCAATAGACATGATGGTCGAGAGAGAACTTTGATTATGATCAGAAAGTAGGGTTAGGGTTCTTGCGTAAATGTTGGGAATCCGAAAGATTGAAGTATATCACCAAGTTATCTTTTATAACCGACGTCAAATTCAAATTCACACCAAGATCCAATGAACCATTGCCACATGTAAAGTAAGCAACTAAAATGTCACAACTCAAAATTTTTAGATCAAGTAAAGCCTAAACCCTAACCAAGTACAAGTGAAACTGCATTGGAATTCTTTTTGCATTTTATCATCTATAGCCTTAGAGCTTGTTTACAGAATTAACAAAGAGGTATGGATTGAAAACTTAAGCTAAATTGGAGTGTCATAAATGAACATAAGTTAAAAGTTTAGGGGTTTAAAACATAAATAACCCTCATTAAATGAGTTTTCACCCAAATTAATTAAGGGGAAAAGTAGTTTACGGATTTGAAATCAATTCAAAGAGGAGTTCACGGCAAAATCAAACAAGTGTATGGTGTTCACGGTTGAAAGTTTTAATTTCACAAAGGTGTTTACAGTTTGGCAAATCCATAAACTCCTTATTCTTTTGATCCAAGACGGTAAACACCCCCTTCTAGAAGCCCTAGGCCGTAAACCACCCCTATATATAAGTGTTTTGGACGAGAACACTTTCATTTTACTCATTTCCATCCGTAAACACCCCCAAAATCCTCTCAACCTTCACCCGTGAACAACTCCTTTTCCTCTCAATCTTCAAGTGTTTACGCCTATATTCCTTCAAATCTTCATATCCCATACCAAGAACATTCATACCCACATTCATATCTTCAAACAAATCTTCAAATCTTCATGATTCTCAAGATCCAACCGTGAACTCACTTACCTCCAACCGTAAACCCATTTTATTCAACCGTGAACCCTTTTGCAACATTCCAAATAATTCTTATTTAATTTGTAAGCTTTCTTTAACTAATTAAATAATTACTTAACCCTTTTATTTAAATTAATATTATTATTAATTTAAATACGACGTCGAATATAATTATTTTAGGATAACGTTATTCGCGCGTACGCTTACCCGGGGATCGTCTCTACAACTCACTTATTCCAGCTAACGCACATTTGAGGTGAGTTCATACCCCCATATTTTTCCAAGCTTTTTAATGTTTTTAGGGGGGTAATACAAGTAAAATACAAGTAATCTTGTGTTTAAAAATATAATTTTGCTTATTATATTTTCTTACCGTTAACATGCAATTGAACGCGAAACTAATTAAACACGACAAACATTATGACTACTAGACTTACAAACAATTTACAAAACATGTTAAGACCAACTATTTTACAAGCTCAGACTTTAACATGGAAACAAACTTATAAACTATATTAATTATAGTTTATGGAACGAACAAACTACTTTTACAAGGTTACACGTTGTTTACAAAAAGGTTTTCATTGTATTACTTGTGAATTCGTTCAAGGATCAAATATGTGAGACACGTCTTCGAGTACTTACCTAGGTGCCAAGGGAAGTCTAGTATTATGAACCAGAGTCTCCTGGAGGGAGAGTGTGAGTTTGTGTATAGATCTATACGGGACCGACAATCTCGCGCCCTGACTATTAGCTACGATCGTTCTGGGTGACAAACGTCATTAACGTTTACGACGTCCGAAGTACGTCGTAGGGTTTAACATTCATCAGTATGGTTATAAGAACTCACATGGATAAAACAACGAATCGTTCATGTAATAATATACTTAACAAACAGTCATCATGGTTAGTAACTATGTGATTACTTAGTATATACATCAGGGTGATATGAAATTAACATCCGACATGAAGTGGGATGTGTGACTTCTACCTCATTTTCTGTTCCTTGTTTGGTTGTGGGCTTAGGACAGAATCACCCAATCGACTGTCTGTTCGATCTAGATTTATATAACTCGTATGTACTAAGTGATCACAGGAGGGTATTAACATCACTTCCAGTTTACAGAACAAACACGCTTTCGACTATTTTTATTTAATAATAAAGCTACACTTTAACAACATAAGTATGGGAAAATACTTGTGCTTCTCAGTTTTGGAACATTTAAGACAACAACTCACTTTTATGGAAAATATAGGATTTTCCAGGACAAACATCAGTATTTTACAAGAAAACGGTTTGTCATGCAACTAACGAACAATCATGGTTAATTCTAAAATTACTTAGTTTATACATCAAGGTTATGTATGAAGAATATCCGATAGTGTGACAACCGTCATTTTTGGTCAAGTCAAAGTCAACTAAAGTCAACGAGTCAAACCGGTCAACTCATCTAACCCTTGTATATTAGGGTTTCCATTATGTTCCTTATTGAACAACTCGCAATCTTAATACAAAGTATCACTTAGAGTTTTCTCGTGTTCGGAAATTCTAAACCCTAATGAGGGCAAGTGATGAAACTACTCGATAAAACATTATTCCTTAACCCTCGGGGGAATATAACAATCATAACGAGACTTAACGAGATGTACAAACCTTGCATTACAAAGCCAAACACTCAAAAAGGTCACAAAAGAAGTCTCTCCCAATCTCTTTCACTTTATCTCTCTCTACCTCAAATCTCTCCCAAATCTCTCCAAGTATGTGAAATCTCTCCCAAATCTCTCCAAGTGTGTGAAATCTCTCCCAAATCTCTCTCTGTATGAGAAATCTCTCCATGTGTGTGAAATCTCTCCCAAATCTCTCTCTGAATGAGAAATCTCTCTAAGTTTGTGAAATCTCTCCCAAATCTCTCCAAGTATGTGAAATCTCTCCCAAATCTCTCTCTGTATGAGAAATCTCTCCAAGTGTGTGAAATCTCTCCCAAATCTCTCTCTGAATGAGAAATCTCTCTAAGTATGTGAAATCTCTCCCAAATCTCTCAAAGTATGTGAAATCTCTCCCAAATCTCTCTCTGTATGAGAAATCTCTCCAACTATGTGAAATCTCTCCCAAATCTCTCTCTGTATGAGAAATATCTCCAAGTATGTGAAATCTCTCCCAAATCTCTCCCAAATCTCTCTCAAAATCTCTCTCAAACGTCTTATAATCACTCGGGGCATCCCGACCCTCGATTTAGTCGAAAACCGCTCGAAAACGGAAGTCTACGCGAAAAACAGCCTTAAGGAGCCGAAACCTCTTAAGGAGCCGAACCCTCTTAAGGAGCCGAAACCTCTTAAGGAGTCGAACCCTCTTATGGAGTCGAACCCTCTTAAGGAGCCGAACCTCTTAGGAACCGAACTTGTCAGAAGCGAAGGTGTCAGAAGCGAACTACACCCTCTCCGACCGAAGCTCAGCAGACCGAACCGAACCTCGGACCTTCGGTCCCTCCCCCCTCGCACCTTCGGTCCTCTTCTCTACTCTCGGTTCCTTCCTTCCCTTCTCTCGGTTCTCACTCCCTTAGAGCCGAACCTCGCAGGTTCGGTCCATATTGCCGGTTTTTGACCCAAACTTCGTTTTAAGCTCGTTTTTCGTGATTTTAACGCGGGATTTTCACCCAAACTTGTATTTTAACATAATAAACCCTAAATATTCATTTTTAATCATATTTTTGGGGGAAATCCTTGTCCAAGAATAAAATCTATTAAATTAGATTTTGGGGTAGACTGTTGACTTTATCTAGAGTAAGACACAAGTAACCTCCCCCATACCTTCATGGTACAACCCTCAGTCACTATTCCCCCTACGTAGTCAACTATTTGTCCTTTGACACCCCTCCTCCAGCTGTAAAGGTTCACCAAAGGCTGAAAATCTCCTTTCTCCTCCCATTTCACTCACTTTCCACCAAAGAGCAAACACTTTTCTCTCTCACTCTCCTCTCCAAATACTCGAATTCTCCAGGAGTTCTAAGGCTTCTCATATACCGTGGTAAGTAAATCTCTTCCCACACTTGATTTCCTTACACTTCTTCACTCAAATCACGGGTTCCTTACAGAAATATCGTCATATTGTTGTTAGATCTTCGAATCTTCAACCATCTCCCAAGTGTTCTTGACTTGGAAACTCCTTTTCTTCATTATCCATCTACTGAAATCACACAAGGTGAGTTCATACCCCTACATTTTCATGTTTTCTTCAAGTTTTAAGGGGGGGGGGGGGGGGGGGGGGGAATACAAGTTAAAACACCAAAAACTTAACTAAACTCAAACAACAGCTTTCATCAGAAAAGTTGGGTCTTATTAACGGACTGTTTTGACTATTTTAAACTTAATATCTTTCAACACTGTTTAATATGCAATTAGTTCAGGTTCCTACCTTTAAAATGACTACTTGCACATCTCCATACGATTTTTCTACGATTTATGGTGATTTTTACAAAACTTCCTATCATTTCAGAAACGAATTCGGACCAGTCTGTGAATATGAACATTTTAACACAAGTTAAAGACTTCTAAAAATCATAATAAAAATTATTAATAAACTAGACACATTTTGTGAACTCTCAGAATTTACGGATTCAGTTTTCGACTTCGTATGATTTTTCTATGATTTATCTAAAACAGTGTAGAATGGTTAGAAACTAGTTAACAGCTTACAACTTTCATAACACTTTGTAGTATGTTGAGCAAAGTGTATAACCATAAGTTCTAAATATTGAATGTATTTTCTTGTTAGTTTATCATCATAAACTGAAATTTAGTCATTCATGATAAGGTTTCTTCATTCATTTCGAACACATATAATAAACTACAATAAGCATAGTTTATGGATTTTTACTACATGAAAAAGGTTTTACTCTCAAAACAAATGAGTTTCTCATATACTACATGATAAACTATAATAGTAATAGTTTAAGGATTTCATATCACTAATTTATTCATAAAAGGTGATTTTACTTCCTCCACGGAAGAGGTTTTAATATCAAACTATGTGTAAACGAGTTAACTTAGGTTGTGAGGAAATTCACTCCCCGTACGTTCGAGTACGGGATCCCAATTCCTGTAAGTTATAACCAGAGTCTCTTGTAGGGAGAGCGTGATAATTGTGTATAGA